TTTCAGGCAGGTTTCACAGAGCGTGCAGAGAGCTCATTCACTTCATCCATCCATCCATCCCCTTATCCTTTTCAGGGTCGCTGGAGCCTATCCCAGCTGTCATAGGGCGAGAGGCGGGATACACCCTGGACAGGTCGCCAGTCTGTCGCAGGGCTAACACACAGGGACAAACAACCATTCACACTCACATTCACTCCTAGTGGCAATATGGATTATCCAATGAACCTATCCCCACAAGTTGCATGTCTTTGGACGGTGGGAGGAAGCCGGAGTACCCGGAGGGAACCCACGCAAACACGGGGAGAACATGCAAACTCCACACAGAAAGACCCCGGCCTGATGGAGGAATTGAACTCAGGACCTTCTTGCTGTGCGGCAACAGTGCTAACCACCGTGCCACCGTGCTGCTATGAGTTCATTCACTTGATAAAGAAAAACAGTTTTCTGTGCTCTGCTGAAAAGCAGATAAAGTCCATTACTTGAGTGTAAATCTAGTGAATGCTGTATTTAGACAAACACTGGATGAACTGAGCCTGTCGGACACCATGTATCCACATCACAAGCTCTTCATCTTCCTCATCAGGTGCAATCAGAGCAGCACTAACTGTAAATGTTATTTTTAACAACATCCTAATTTTATATAGGCGAGATCATTAATAGGAGAGAATTTGGGAGTTGCTGTCAGACTTTGTGTTGCGTAGCAACCAGAATAATGAACGCCTGTTTCGCAGTTTGATCTCCTGCTCTCTGGTGACTGTTGATGCTCACTGGTGCAGTTTGTGATGGAGCGGGAGAAAAAATAGCTTCTACAACCACCTACCGAGTAAACTTTTTGTGTGTTGCAGGATATTCAGTATTTTGAATGTTTTTCTTTGCAAAGCAGAGCTCTATAATATGCATACGCCCACATAACAGCTGTAAAACAGAGCTTGGCTTCTGCCAGTCCATCCAATCTGTTCTTTAAGTGGAGCTTTTGCAGGCTCTCACCTGCTGAGTACACCTAGTACACGTTGAAGGGGTTATATATCCAGTCTGAACTGTGGGAGTACCTCAGGATCCACCGAGGAAGAGCTGGAACATATTATTGGAGAAGGATCACCTTGGTTAGGCTGTTGCTGCTACAGCTGATACCACAGCTAAAAACCTCACAAAATATATTAGTAATGCCCTCTGCATTCATTCAGTGTCCACAAAATGAAAACATATTGAGGAGCTGTTCTGGTTGGCAGTCGCATCTCTCTGTGTATCTCGGCGAACCTTTCTTGGCATCCTCTTAAAACCTGTCATCTAATTTGACTAGAAAAGGACTGTGTTACAGTAAGGCAGTTTATTGTTGCTGTGTGCCGGTAAAGCTGCTGCCATGTGTTACATCGTTTGCAGCGATTGGCTGATCCTGTCTCATCTCAGGAGAAAATGAGAGACGATGCATCTTGAAGCAGTGACAATTAAAACCAGCATTTCACTTGAGCGAAGTCTGCTTATTATTCACTCCGGTATCTGTTCCTACAGTACTGTCGGCACTTTACTTCACTCATTCTTTGTCTGCTTTCTTTGAACTTGCTGCAGAATAAGGGTTAAGTAGGACAGTGAAGACGGAGAAAGCAAAGAAGACGCAGTCACTCAGATAAGTCAAACTTTTTAGAAGCGTTTGTAGGTTTTCTTTCAAAGCCTGCAGGCATTTTACTCAGCTTGAGACTGGTACCGAACATGACAGCAGGATTAGGCAAGTAAAGACAAACAGCGGAGAGCAGGAGTGTTTACTGCAGCGAACCTTTCTGTTACCGTTTGAGAGGAGAAAAACACAACTTTCTTTAGCTGTCCTCTTCCTGCCACTTCTACTGGAAGGTGACTTTTTCTTTCTGCAGTGCTGAACTCAAATGGGTTACCTGGCAAATCATTAAATGGTTTCATTTACTAGGAGCCACGCAAGTCACAGTCTACATTCAGCTGGGCCACTCCATACCAGGTCCTCTCTGATCTCCCTGAAAAACATGTAGGATGATGATACATTTCTTTATAAATTTGAGCTCTTTGCAATGTGCACATACAAATATTTTCAAAGTACAATTTTCAGTGGAGCCAGAGGACTATTTAATCCATGTCAGGCAGATAGTTTTAGGTCAAATATGACCTCAGAAAGATGGGATTTCAAAAGTCAAGCTTAACTTCAGCTACACTTAAAAATCAATAGTTTGGCACCAACATCTTTGGCATTTAAAAATACATTTTTCAAAGCTAGGGGCTGAAATCTGGCGCACACACTCCCATAGTTGTACAGAGAAATGCTCTCAAACACATTAAAGTTTGAAACATAAACAACAAACAAACATATTGAGTTTGAGTGATATTCAAAAACCCGATAAAGTAACAGCAGTTTTATTTGCTGATTGTAGGATTCCTTATACTTCAAACCGACTTTGGAAATGTTACAGGGGGACAACATAATGGCCCTGAAGCTCGCGTCCACCCCATCTTTCATATCTTCTTGTTGCACGTAGGAACCAGGAATCAGAAACTTAGAAGTGCTTTAAATACATCTATAAACAAACGGAGCATGCAACAAGTGCAACAAGTGACTTTAAATCCTGCGGGTAAGGAAATCCCAGGAAGTTGATTGTGTTCATCTGGACGCAGCGTTGTGAGAGACATGTTTCGTCCCTCATCCAGCTGACTGCAGATTTCCAACCTTATAAGCAGCACATCTGTAAACCTACAGGTGGTCACGCAGTATATATCTATATTTTGACAAGTTTCCAATGAAATACTGATGGGAGGTCACGAGCTCTATAATAAACTTCTGCACAGATTATAATTAGATTATGTTCATTTGCCATAAATGAACATAAACCTATAATATACTAATATTCCTGACCCTCAAATACTTTGAAAGGTGGTGTGGATTGAAAACACAGCAAAGGATTTCCTGTGGGGCTGAGTCGTTAGTTTGAGAAGTCAGGCAAAGTCAGCCAGAACTGATGGTGTGTTTTTAGTCAGTGAAAAATAATGATTGATTCTGCTGTTTCACTCATAATCCGGTGTATCTGTGGGACAGACGCAGGCTTTGGTCTGGAGATCTTAGGTGTCTGACTGTGTTGTACGGGGGCAGGAGTTCACAGATACCAGGCTCAGACCATTTACTTCTCTGCAAACAGAGAACAAGCGTTCAGTCTTCAGTCTACAGCTAACAGGGAAACTGAGCAGGGAGGCAGGAATCTCAGTAATGTGCTGTCTGTGTTTTGATCTAGTTAAAAAGTCCTGCTGCTGCATTCTAAACTAATTGGAGACTGGATGTAAAAAAGGCTGCGCCATATCAACATACAAAAAGTTGCAGTAATGAGGCTGTATAAAGAAGTGCAACTTTCTTCTTGTCACAAGTTTTTGACATTATGACTCGAGAAGATAATGTGAGTGGATGTGTACAGGACGCATCCAGGGCCTGCTGTATCGCACCTGCTCACAGGGAACAGCGATTACGTCTGCTTTATCCTGATGCGACGTTTGTTGTTTGCAAACTGAAATCTTTTTTTATGACTAAAACTAAACTGGTTTGCTTTGTAGAGGATTTTGTATTTTTATTGTACGTTGTTTGCTGTAGGATGTGAGGATTAAACCTGTCACAGCTCTTTATTTTTTTAAATTGCCAAAGACAATTTAAAGGTCTTCAGTAGGCAGGATGTGCCCACTCAGTAAAGGCTCATTAAAAAGACAACCTGCTGTTGCAGAGACCCCTTACAACTAAAGCTGGATGTGAAGTGAAAAGTCATTTCTTCAAGTTACAAATTCTTGAATGCGTTTCCATCCATGGGACTCGGCCCTAATGTGCGATGACATCATTCATCCTATCTTAATGACCTTGTAGTACCATATCACCCTATTAGAGCACTTCGCTCTCGCTCTGCAGGCCTACTTGTTGTTCCTAGAGTATTTAAAAGTAGAATGGGAGGCAGAGCCTTCAGTTTTCAGGCCCCTCTTCTGTGGAACCAGCTTCCAGTTTGGATTCAGGAGACAGACACTATCTCTACTTTCAAGATTAGGCTTCAAACTTTCCTTTTTGCTAAAGCATATAGTTAGGGCTGGACCAGGTGACCCTGAATCCTCCCTTAGTTATGCTGCAATAGGTGTAGGCTGCCGGGGATTCCCATGATGCACTGGGTGTTTCTGCTTCACTCACTATGTATTAACAGACCTCTCTGCATTGAATCATATCTGTTATTAACCTCTGTCTCTCTTCCACAGCATGTCTTTATCCTGTCTTCCTTCTCTCACCCCAACCAATCACAGCAGATGGCTCCGCCCCTCCCTGAGCCTGGTTCTGCCGGAGGTTTCTTCCTGTTAAAAGGGAGTTTTTCCTTCCCACTGTCGCCAAAGCGCTTGCTCATAGGGGGTCATATGAGTGTTGGGTTTTTCTCTCTCTGTGTTATTGTAGGGTTGACCTTACAGTATAAAGCACCTCGAGGCGACTGTTGTTGTGATTTGTCGCTGTATAAATAAAACTGAATTGAATGATGTATTGATGGTCAGGTGTGATAGTCCCTGAGTGTTTTGTTGGTGCATGTTTCTGTTCATGTATATTGTGTTAGTCTTTATTAAATCTAATTAGCTAACAGTCAGACCTGATGAGGGTCAGTAATCTACTTTAATCTACTTTAAGTGTGAATGCAGCTTGTTAGGTCTCGCAGGTGTTTCTCCAGATTCAACAGTAGGAGAAGGTGTAAAAATTACTCTATTTATTCATTTTAAAACCAAATCCCAACAATGTTGTGATGTCTGGTAATCGTGTTATATTTTCATGGCTTTATATGTGGCCCGAAACAGATATTCATCATGCAGTAAATTTGGAGGAGATTATTTGCAACGACTACTTTTGAGCTGAGCAAGAAGCCATGACTGCTTGAAAAACAAGACTCAGTATTACCAGAGGATCTCGTCCTCGCGTCGGCTGAGCTTCTGTTTACTCTCTCGTCCACCGACCTGTAATCAGGTGTCTGTTTGTCATTCAGGAGGAGGCAGCCAAGCCGAAGAATCTTTGCTCACAGAGATTGTCTCCAAAGTGGTGTTTCCTCGACTGTAAGTATTACTTAATAATAGTAGTTTTTACCTTTATGCTAATCATTACCCAGTATGATGATATTATGGTGACATCCTGTTTCGTGAGTATGACTTATACATAAATACTCATATCAACACTCATCTTGCCTGTTTGAAATGGCAGTTACCAATTCAGTTTTGATCAGCTGCCTGTTGGTCTTTAATTAACTTGGATGAAGCTCAGATCAGTCATGCATGTTTTTGTTTTTGCTGCTATGGGTGTGTCATATGCATGCATTCATAAGCATAATGGCAGAGGAATCATGTTTATAGTCATTTACAAATGTTGCAGATTAAGTTTACTGTCTTCTGTTCTAAGGCAGTGGTGAAGTCACATTACTGGTGTTTTTTTGTGTTCCACTGGGAGAAATGGACAAGCGCACAACTTGTTACATTTTGAGTGCCCCTTTTCAATCTTGTGCAAGCAATACCAGATCTCTCGCACCACATGTTGCTGTGAAATGTGTATCTGATTGTAAGAACGCAGTCAGTGACCTACAATCAAGATCTGTACTCTGCTTTTGTTTTGTGTAGATTTCAAATGTTCAAATTGTTAGAAAATCGTATCGTAGGTCCATGCAGCATTATCACAGGCAGTGTGAGCAGGACAAATGCTGACACAGTTCTCTAATGTAAACAGGTTTCTGTGTTAGCACTTCCTCAAAATAACAGAAAACATAGTCCCATCAGATCCTGGGTTTTGGAGAATGTCATGAATATTTATCTCTCAGAGCAACTTGCCAAAAATATCATAGAGAAAGACCAGGCTTCCTACACAATGCTAAATGTGCATGCACATTAACACAACCCCCCCACACACACACCTCTGCCTGGGTTGTGTCCTATTGGCATTGAGCAGAAAACTGGATTTAAAAAGATGCAGCATCTACCTGACAGAGAGATAAGGAGGATGTGTTTGAGGAGGGCGCATGTGATCAGTGCTACTTCTGCTCTAACCCAACAGAGGATTTACACACATGGCTGATATGTTTAAGTGCTTTTGAAAAAATACATTGTTTGTTTGTACTTTTCACATTTGTTTGTTATTAAGTTATTTCACCGTATGACTGTATTCATGACATCAAAGAATTTCATCAGTTCTTCCTATATTAGACTATATTTCCTCCACCAGCTGCTCAGATGGGCAAACTGCACAGAATCTGGCTTTAGAATAACATTCCTAGAATGGTGTGAAAGGAGTTGTTACCAGCTGCTGGGCTGTGCTGGACCACGAATTAAACTGGTCCATGTTCATTATAATGATGCAGAACAAAGGTGAACTCGGTGCAATGGGACAAAAATGCAGTCTGGTTAGAAAGTCATTGTTGCATCACAGTAGTCATTGATTTGGTCTTCACAAAATGAATGCGAGTTCCCTGTTACACTGAAATAAAATACAATTATTTTATGGTGTAAGAAACAACAGTTTCTCACCCTGTGGGGGCAGCGTCTCGTCTTGTTACTCTGCAGGCTATTGGTTTCCCACAGTAATTGGCACAGGAGGTGGGAGCTAGCATATGTACAGATTAACAATGTTCAAAGTTATTTGCTGACCTGAACCTTAATGACCGCCTGCAGCAATCTGCTTTAAATGAGCTGAATTTGAGACATGCTTACAGGAATAGTAATTTTCCCACGTTGTCTTTATTTGGCTAAAACCGTCTTTTTGTGTCTCCTCAGCCACGACAGCCGATCGTTTCTACAGGATAGACCGAGCACAGGTAAGGTTTCACCACCTGTGTTCTAGTTTTTAGTCATTTTCACTCCGTGACCTTAATGATGCCTTCTCGTTTGATTCTTTGCTAAAACCTTCAGGAACATCTCAACTACGTATCAGAAATCTCCCAGGAAGAGATCTTCATCCTGGACCCTGAACTTGTTGTCATGACAACTGTAGGCACCTCCCCCTCAGCCATGGCCGACCTGGTTAACCCCGCCCCTAGCCCAGTAAACAGCAGGTAAATCAGCTGAATTTTCATTAAACATTTTTTCTTTGTTCCATTCATCGCAGTGCATAATGCTGGAGGAGGAGAAGGAAAGGCGTGGCCTTACTTTGACTCCTTGAAGTAATCAATAAATCAATAGAAATAGTCTGCCAATTACAGTTACTTACAACCAAAATTTACATGAGAAAAGTATTAATTATTCTTCCTTTGATAATTTTCTTATTACAGCCTTTTAAATAATTCTCTGGCGAATTCTGTAGTTGGACAACAACCACGACAGTCCATAAATATAGATGTTCACAATGATCCTTTTTAAATCAAGACTTTAGTCCCCTGGCTTAGCAGGTAATTATACCCCATGCGGCTGAAATGCAGCCACCTGGGCTCGAGTCCGACCTACGTGCTCTGGCTGTGAGTCTCCCCCACTCACTCTCTGTAAAAGTTAAATAAACAACAAGAAACCCTCTATTATTATACGCAAAATAAGCTGATTCCAAGCGTCACCTCTTTGTCGTATTGCTGTCAAACGAAATACTCTGTAGGGCCTATTTCATGACCTAATACTTTCTCCAGGGACAACACTTCTAGTCAGAGCTCCACTGATGCTTTAGTCTACACTGCTGCTTCCTCCTCCGACTCACCTTCATCCTCTGTTCCCAGGTAAAGACGCACATTAAACACAAATGCGTCCTTAATGTGTTTTAATGTGTGTCTGTTGCTCTCACCCTGCTTCTATGTTTCTGGTTATACAAAATGAAACAAAACAAAGAAGCCAATGCTGTGCTGTGGTCCAGTAATGAAAGTGGGCATCAAGTCAGTCTGTTGTTTCAAAGGCTTTTGCTAAAGCAGTGGGCCAGGCCAGACCTGGGGAAAAAGTATAGATTGATGTCAAAAACCTGGGTCCTTTTTAAAGTTTTAATTATTATTTTATTTCATAATTTTAGTTAAATATATAAAAATGTAGATTTGGGGGATTGGCAGTTCCTAGTTCAGTGTGGCGCTTTGTGTTTTAGTGCCTATAAAATCTAATCGTGCATAAATGGATGAGTTCAGTTTCTTTTCCTACTGAGAAAATCTGTCATCATTATGTTAGCTTGTGTTTGCGTATGTTTGTGTCTGTGGGTCTTGAGATCTGTAGACAACACGTTTGTATTCTACTCGTATTTTCATATTATTAACCATGTACCATAGACTCGTGAAGGTTAATTCCTTACCTACAGCTGTCTGTTGATGCTCCATAAACAATTCTCGTGAGGCAAAATGAGAAGAGGGTAAGCAGATTATGAGTGAGAGGATCAAGAATTTCTGGGGAGAAAACTGGTTTTATTCAATATTTTCTTACAGTAAAGAAACCCCATGAAAAGCCAAAGATGTGTTTTCATCTTCCTGACATCTCTGTGTTTGCCTGTGGCACTCGGCTTCATTGGTTTGATCTAAGGATGAAAATCTTGAAAAACATTCCTCAAATATACAGCACCAGTGAAAGGTTTCAGCACATCTATTTATTATAAGACTTTCCACTGTTTTTTCCTCATGTTTTGCATTATAGAGTAAAAAGATCAAAATAATTGAATAACACATTTGAATTTTCTAAAACATGAAAATCCTCCGACTGTTTCAAACATAATTTTATAGTCTTTGTAGTTCACTCATCCATCTGTCACTCACCTGAGTTCAGATCACCCTGCCAGCCCGGGGGGCAACAAAGTGTTCCCAAGCAAGGTAACAAAGGTAATCTCCCCAGTGTGTCTGGGACCTGCAAGGGGCCTCTTCCTTGTAGGACATGGTCAGCATACACAAGGCATCCTAATCAGATCCTCAAACCATCACAACCTTCTCCTTTCAGTGTAGAGGAGTAGCAGCTCTACTCTCCATCCTACCACCAAGAGCCCAGACACTTTTTGGAGGAAGCTCATTTCTACCCAGACACACACTACCCAGAGCTTGTAAGGGTAGGAAAGCTGAAAGTAGAAAACGTGGAAATCACCAGTTTTGCTGTCCTGCTAGACTCTCTCTCTCAACAACACAACAGACTCAGTGCTGCATCTTCATCACTGCAGATGTGGTACTGAACTTAAACTCCTCCTTTTGGGGAAGCAACTTGTTGTTGACTTCAACTGTTCACTCCACCCGTTTCTGCTGAGGACCATGGCCTCGGACTCGGAGGTCCTGATTTTTATTCTCGTTCTTTACACTCAGCTCCAAACCATCCCAGTTCAAGCTGGAGACAGCCGCCTGATGAAGCCAGACCTCCCTCTCCCCAGCCACCTCCTCCAGCTTATCCGGGGGAACACCAAGGCGTTCCCAGGCCAGCCGAGAGATATAATCTCTCCAGCGTGTCCTGGGTCTGCCCCGGGGCCTCCTCCCGGTGGGACATGCCTGGAACACCTCGCCCAGGAGGCATCCTTGTCAGATGCCCGAACCACCTCAGCTGGCTCCTTTCGATGTGGAGCAGCAGCTGCTCTACTCTGAGCCCCTCCCGGATGGCCGAACTTCTCACCCTATCTCTAAGGGAGAGGCCAGCCACCCTTCGGAGGAAGCTCATTTCTGCCGCTTGTATCCGCGATCTCGTTCTTTCGGTCACTACCCACAGCTCGTGGCCATAGGTGAGGGTAGGGACGTAGATCGACCGGTAAATTGAGAGCTTCGCTTTTACACTCAGCTCCCTCTTCACCACGACGGACCGGTGCAGCGTCCGCATTACTGCAGCTGCAGCCCCAATCCGTCTGTCGATCTCCGGCTCCCTTCTCCCATCACTCGCGAACAAGACCCCGAGATACTTGAACTCCTCCACTTGGGGCAGGAACTCATCCCCGACCCGGAGTGGGCACTCCACCCTTTTCCGGCTGAGAACCATGGCCTCAGATTTGGAGGTGCTGATCCTCATTCCCGCTGCTTCACACTCGGCTGCGAACCGTTCCAGTGCGAGCTGGAGGCCCTCACCCGATGAAGCCAACAGAACCACATCATCCGCAAAAATCAGAGATGAGATTCTGAGGCCACCAAAGCGAAAGCCCTCCGCCACTTATTGCCGGCAATGCGAACCAAGCTCTTGCAACGGTTGTATAGGGATCGAATGGCCCGTAGCAATGGGCCAGACACCCCATACTCCCGCAACACCTCCCACAGGACACCCCGAGGGACACGGTCGAATGCCTTCTCCAGGTCCACAAAACACATGTAGACTGGTTGGGCAAACTCCCATGCACCCTCAAGTATCCTGGAGAGGATAAAGAGCTGGTCCAGTGTTCCGCGACCAGGACGAAAACCGCATTGTTCCTCCTGTATCCGAGGTTCGACTAGCGGACGAACTCTCCTTTCCAGCACCCTGGCATAGACTTTCCCAGGGAGGCTGAGGAGTGTGATCCCCCTGTAGTTGGAACACACCCTCCGGTCCCCCTTCTTAAAGATATTACGTCCATACCATGCAGAGCAGTGACTCCATCTCCACTGGGTCCAATATGGATCTGCAGTCCAAGCTTGGTCAATATGGCCCAAGCTGTCACTGTGGTTGTACAGTGATTGAATGGCCAGATACTCACCCCTAACCGCCCATGTATGATGAGGCCGAGTGCCTTCTCCACAATACTCATCTTTTGTTTGGAGAACAGGTTTGTGTTTTTACCTGTTCCAGTATATGTTGAGTATCGATTCGCTGTTTTTTTCCCTTTGCTTTTTTCCTTCATCAGTCCAAGTCTTAGTTTTAAGTCAGTGTTTGTAAAGGCTTGGTTGATGGTACTTCTTGGTCACGCAGGTCTTACAGAGGCAGAGGTGGGATTATTGCTCGTTTTCCTGTTGAGGTACAAAGCAGAAACCACATGGCATGTTATGTCTCTTTAAGATGTTGGTTAAGTGCTGTCTTGAATTCTGAATATGTCAGTGAGAAAGACTCCCAAATCCATCCTACCTCCAGCTCCATGTTTTACACCATTTCAAATTAGTGTTCATCAGAACAAAGTTGAAGTTTCTAATGGTCTAACTTCCATCCCTTTTAATGGAATTTAAGCAGTTCTTGTCTTGCTATTGGTCTTCCTTAAATGTGTTTTTTTGCACTTAGAATAGAACAGAATAGAATAGCTCTTTATTGTCATTGTACATGTACAGTAAAATTATGGGTGCTCCACACCAACTGTGCAGTAATAAAATATGAATAGTAGGACATCAAGAAAATTATATACAAACAGAAGGAATATAAAAAAAAATATACAAAATAAGAGAGAAGCACAAATAGAGAGCAGGTTGCAAAGTGCTGGGGAGTAGTGTAAAGGACTCGGTCTGAGTAGAGTGATGAAGGTTACCCAGTCTCCGACTGGTGGCTGCGCAGCCTTCTTGTTCTCAATTGTGACCCCTGCATACCAAACACTGAGGAGTGGTAGAAACCCAGTAGCAGCCTCTGCTCCCAGTTACTCTTCCTCATGACACAGTGGAAGTGCTGCAACTGCTGGGTCTTCTTTACCAGAGTTTATGGTGTTGTGGCTCCAAATGAGATGAGCGGAGATTTAGGTGTCCAGA